TTAATTAAAAATAATATATATATATATATATATATATATATATATATATATATATTGAATTTCACTCTAAACAAGATCTTATACCTATTACATAAAAAAAATATAATTTTAAATAGGATTTTGATATATGTGCAAACTTAGACGGGTTAAATTGTAATTTTCTTAATCATGATCACTACTAAAAAGTTTGTATTTTATGAATTTTTTAATAAAAAACTTATTTTTTGTAATTTTTATAAAAATATCCTCATGAGATTTTTTAGTAATAAATTTTTATTTATTATAAACAAAAATAAAAAATAATATATTATAATTTAGGGGTGGCAAAATGATCAATCCATCCCATTTTAACTTGTCTTGTCTTTGACTCACCAAAAGCGAACGAAGCGGACTAGTCCACTATAGTTATGATGGATTATAGGTCTTGGTCTGCCATATATATTTTTTTATCTTTTTAAAATTAATTTTTTAATAAATTTAATAATAAGATTATTATTTATTTATCAACAATTCAAATATATATATATATATATATATATATATATATAAAGTTACTAATATAAATTGATACATGATTTTAATTATAATAATCAAATTAAGATAAAAATTATATAATAATAAATCTATGTACGTAATAGTCAAAATTTATTATATTTCAAATTTTTATATTGAAAAGTTCAAACATCTAAAATAAAAAATTAAAGTTTATTTTTTTATTTGATAAAGCTTCACATTATTTTTATCTTAAGTAATTCTCACATGTTCAATTAAAGTCATTAGGATAATGAGGTATATATATATGATTTTTACCTTAAGATGAAGAAAAAACAAGCAAAAGGAGAGGAGAGAGGAAGTTTCTACTTGAGAAATGGACGTGTTTTGTAAGGGAGAATAAGATTTTTTGAATTCTTTTAGTAGTGAGACATTGATACATCTTTGAATTCTTTTATTAATGAGACAGTGAAACTTTTAGAATTCTCATTTTACAAATTTTTATATTATATGTTACCTTACTCACTGCATCATTATCAAAAAATTAATCATAAAGCGGGTTGTGGACTGATGAGCTGAAAATATTAACCCGCTCTTTTCATTTTATATAAAAAAATAAATCATATTTATAACGGGTTGGCGGGGCATAACCAGTTTTGTCATCCTATTATAATTTTTCTAATTTTAGAGTCAACGTTATAAATAATATATTTTCTTGTTTTTCTCTCTTTTCATTTACTTTTTTTTCTTTTAATTTTTCCTTTTTTTTTCTTATTCTCTCACTTCATCTTATTTTTCAATTAAACATAATAGATTAAAATTTGATAACTTGAGTCTATTATTATTATTGTTGAACAATAACAATATTTAAATAATCTATAAATACTATAATTTAATATATTATATAAAAAAATATTATATGATAAAATTGAGATGTTACAAATATTATTATTATGTTATAATTAAAAAAATTAAATATGTATTTTAAAGTATTTAAAAAAAAACCTAATCTAACTAATTATCATAACTCAATCTAATTATAACTAGATTAAATTATTAAATAAAAATACATATAAATTATAAATATTTGATATTTTTTAATTAGATGAGTAGTTATTTATTATAATAAAATAAATTTATATCTTAAATAAATTATTTACTATCAACATAATAATAAAATTATTATCATCATAATTTAAAATTATTTAGTTAATATTCTTTTAGTTTCAAGGTTATTTTAAAAATATTTATTTTCACATATTTTTATTAAATTTTAATAGTGTAGTTTAATTAAGAAAATAAGTGGGATAAGAGAGAAAAAAATCAAGAAATATAAAAAAAATAAAGAGTAAACGAAGAAATAGAAAAAAATACAATAAAATCATAAGAAAAGAGAAGAAAAACTACGTAAAGTCAGTTTTTTTAAATAAATAAATTTAATTTAGGTAATTTTTTTTTAAAATATATTGTTCATAGTATTTATTCTCAACAAATTCAATATCTTCATAAATTATTTAGGTTACTTTTTAGTCTTCCAAGTTTAAAAGATGACTTTAAGTGAAGAATATCAAAAGTTATTGTAGTTTATTCATACTTTTTGTTTTAGAAAAATAATTTTAAATTAATTAGACAGTTCAATAGTAGAAAATCATCAATTGGTAAAGGTTTATATAGTGTTTTAAACATTATTTATTATTATTATTATTATTATTATTATTATTATTATTATTATTATTATTATACTTCAAATATTTTTTTTGTATAAACCACTAAATTTCTTTTTATCAATTTAATTTTTTAATAATAATTTTAGTACACCTCTATGAAATTATAGTTCTTTTATTATTTTAAAATTGTATTAAAACAAAAGATGTTATTGGAGAACGTTAAATTTAAAATAAATATGAAAGAGAATAACATTTATCAAAATTAATAAGAAAGGGGTTATTAATCCTCAAAATTAATTACGTGATTAAATGTTAATTAGATCGTTCAATATTAGCATTAATGGTTAATCATCAGAAAGAGTTTCGTAGCCGTTTTCTTCAATTTATATCACAGTTAATAAAGTTTTTATATACATTTTACTGTTTTTTTAACCGATAAAAAATAGTTAATGATTGAAAAGTTAAACCAAATTTAAATGAATTTAATAAAATAATATTTTTATAATATAATAAATATATAATAACTTTATTAGTACTAATATTTTAAAAATAAAATAAAAATAAAAATAATAATGATTATTATCATATTATAATAAAAATTATAAATATAAAATATATAAGATGAGTAATTATTAAAATAAAATAAAAATATAATAAAATAATTATTATTTTAAATTGACATTATCATAAAATAAAAATAAAAATATATTATATTCTTATAAAATAATTAATTTTATTTTAATTAAAATCTAATTATTTAAAAATAACGGCGAGTAATCCAATTTATACTTCAACCGACCGGTTATGAAAACATTTATATTTTTCACAATCTTATCTTCCTATAAAACCCATTTCCAATTTGTGTTACATAAGGTTATTTTTTATTTAAAAAAAAAAAGGGAGAAAAAGAGAGATCGAAACATTGCAACCCTTCCAAAAGTTTGCAAAATTCAAATTTGGCCACGCAAATCGAAATTGGTTTCGCCTCTTCGTGTTCCCGCCATCACACCATTGAAGGAGGGAAAAAAAATTTCTAACACAGTGTTGAATTTTTTTTACATCATTATATCCTTATTGATGTCCGCATTTTCAGTGTCTTATTACAGCTAAAGCACTTCAGCTCTAGTTTGAAACCCACCCATCAACAAGAGTCTTCTTCTGTGTGTGTCTGTGCTCTAAGCTTTTACAAACTCCAATGGCTATTACAGCAATCTCCAGCACCAGCATTGAACCTCGGTTGTCTCCTGCTCAGCAGAAGAACGTGAACCAAGTTGCTGCCAGTGGTGGGAAGCCCAAGAGGTGCAATTCACGCGGGGTTCGGATTGTGGGAAGCAGAATCTACGATTCTGATAATGGGATAACTTGTCACCAGGTGCGTTTTCTTCTTCTTTTTTGCTTGTATGTTTCTTTTTGAGTTCTTGAATGCCCTTTTTTGTGTTTTTGCTGCTTTGTGGGGTGTTGGGGTTGTGGAGAGGTCGAAATCTGAATGTGGCTATGTGGGGGAAAATGGAAACCATGTGCAAAATGTTAACTTTGGTTGATGGGATGTGATTATATAATAATGATGTTGCTGTATTGCTGAACGTGTCAATAGGCTTGTATCGAGTTGTTTCAGCTAAGTTAATTGTCTTGAGTTTCAGTATGCAATTGGTTTAAATTTTTTGAGAACTTTGTTGTTGCTAGTGATTCTATCTGATTCGAGCACAATTGTATTTTTTATAATATACAGATAATTTTGCCAAAAAAAAAATGTTTGTGGTGTCTGTAGTTTTTTTTTTTTTTTTTTTTTTTTCGTTCGGTTTGTGTTGTGGGGGTGTAGTGGTTAAAAGAGAGGGTGGAATTTGGATGTGGGTGTGTGAGGGAAGGAAACTATGGTTGATGAGTTTCATAACGATGGTGATGATATTTTTTGACGATGCAGTTTTACTTTTGGTTCCTGTCTCATTCAGTTTGTTTTTGTTTCTAGATTTGATGTTTATTTGGAAAATAACATTTTTATCTGCTTTGTTTTCCATGTTGTAGTGCCGGCAAAAAACCAGGGATTTTGCTGCTTCTTGCAAGAATTTGAAGAAGGATAAGCCCTGTCCCATTAAATACTGTAGCAAGTGCCTCCTTCATAGGTTAGTTTAAGCAACATAAAAACGTTGGTTTTTATGTTTGAACATGTTTTTTATTTTTCTGAATTATTCTATCAATTTAAGCGTTATTTTTGGCCATGTTTATGAAAAAGACTTTTTAACTTTCCAAGAGTTTCCAAATATCCATTGTTCTTGCGACAAGTATCCAAAGAAGCCTTTATAAATGTGAAAAACCACTTCCAAAATGTGTGTGTCATGAAAGAATTAGTCTAGGACTGCTGGTAGACTATAAAAACAAAAACTATAATGATAGAATATTTGAATGTGTTTTCCCTTCTGGGGTTCTTTCTATGATGAGTTAGGTATGGAGAAAATGCGGAAGAGGTGGAGCAGTTGGGCAATTGGGCGTGCCCTAAATGTAGAAACTTTTGCAACTGTAGTTTTTGCCGGTGAGTTGTTTTTGTTTTTGTTTTTTTTTTGGTGGTGTTTTTTCAGATGTTATTGTATCTTGAGTTCATTCTTAAAGAGGAGTTCTCTTTGTAGGAAGAAAAGAGGTGAACTACCTACTGGTCAACTGTTTCATATAGCTAAGGCAATTGGGTTTAAATCTGTGTCTGAAATGCTTGTTGCAAAGACTTCTGAGTCTAAAGAGGTGGAATCCATCAAGGTGAATGTTTTGCCTTCAAAGCAAGTTTACTTATGTTTTCTGGTTAAAGAAGCTCCTTTTTATGAATACAAATTCATGCTTTGTTAATGATCACAGGAGCATAAACATGTTAATAGTTCAAGTTCCGATGAAGTTATAGTTAGCAAAGTTGCTTCACCCATGAAGCCAATTGCATCAGATAAGGTACCAAATCTATTTTGTTGGGTTGATTTATCTTAGTGATTGCCATATAAGTTTAGTCATTGGTGCATATGGTTTATATACATGAATAGTTGAAATCGTTTTACTCACATCTAATCTTGACATCCATTTTAAATTGTGTGTGTTGATTAATTTTCGTACCTATGATGCGCATCGATTTTTTAAAATGGACTATGTATTCAGATCATACTTGTTACTGGATATTGATGTGTATTACAATGAAAGTAGCAATATCATAATTTGAGTATGTAGCTTTATTTCAATTTAATTTTGATTATACATTTGGAATGAAATTTTCAACAAAGTAATTGAAGACTAGCAATAACATCCTGATGTTGGTTCACCAACATAACTGCAAGCTATTTGAGCAAAATCTAGAAATAAAGAAAAATAAGTTGATAAAATAAATGTAATTTATGATCATATATTATTTAATAAGTTGTATCCATCTTTCTTTTTCCTTTTTAAATTGTCATATTTACCTATATCCCTAAACCATTCTGTCATATGTTATATACTTGTACACATCACCTTAGCGTCTTATTCTCTTGTGAGTTTTGGTTGATGTTCTTGCATTTTTTTTTTCAGGAGCTTGTAGTAATTCTCTCGGGTGAAATGGGGAAGGAAAACTCTTCAGAAAGAAACAGTAGTTTAAAGCTTGACCCTGTAAACACTCCGAATATTTTAACCAAAAAATCTAAGAAAACAAAGCGTGAAGAATTAAAGGAAATATTTAATGGGAACAATGTTGATAGTGCTGGCAAAAAGAAGAGCCACAAAAGGAGTAAAATTTGGGAAAAAGTTCCAAATGAGGATAAAGGAAATGTAAATGATGGCACCAAAGCTTGTAACAAAGTCTCTGAAAAGGAAACAAAAGCAGATAGCAACCACAATTTTTGCCGTACTAAAATATCGTTAAGAAATGATGCGGAAGGCAAATCTTTGTCTGGGGTTGAAGCACAAGGACATAGAAAACATTGCCCTATTTCTGGAGATCCTGCAAATGATTTCGTTGATCATGTGACTTCGGCTCCAAAACAAGATATGCAACCTATGCATGGGGAAAATAGGAACAATACTGTACTGATAGATAGTTGTGCTCGAGCCAAAGTCCAAGGGGGAATAGCAAGGTTTGCAAGTGTTGGTATGAACCTAGTGATGGATAAAATTGATGAGGAAATTCCTTTGCCTCCTGGAACTGAGTTAACAAATATATTGGGCATTGAGCTTCCACCTGAAGACGTTGGAAACGCTTTGCAACTCTTGGAGTTTTGCAGAGTGTTTGGAAAGGTATGCACATGTTAACTCTGTCGACAATTTTCTCTTTCGTTTAATGAATAGCAATGCAATTCACTTTTGCATGTATGAATGTATACAACTGACACCTTCTTTATTCAGTAACATTGTTGGAACTACTTCCTGCTTTTATTAATATTATGAAATTTTATTATAGTTGGTTATTTAATACAAAAATTACATGATGAATGGATGATATTTCTTTGTGTAACGTTAATTTGTTACATATATATTTCTTATTTTACGCTGAATTATGTTGCAGCTACTAATAATTGCTTTTTCAAGTGCTTTTTCACATTTACTCCTGTGTATGATTTTGATCAGGCTCTTGATCTCAAGAAAGGAGAAGGCGATGCTATGTTACGAGAACTAGTACGTAAACAAAATTTGCGGCGAGGTCAAAGTACCTTGGCGGTTCAGTTTCAAATTAGAGTGTTGACCATGATACTTATTGATTCAGAAAATGAGTGAGTTATCCCTTGTATCTTTGATTGATTTGTTTGTTTATAGTTTTGGGGTGATAATTTTTTCTATGACTTTGGTGTAGGTCTCCATCCTTGACTATTAGCAATGGAAGTAATTCATGGTTGAAACCCCTGAAGGATTTAATTGTTGAATCTGATCATATACGTAAAGATTTTCCTTTGGATTGGCTTCAAGAAGGCACCAATGGATATCACAGTTTGGATTTATCTAAAAAACTTACTTTGCTGAATTTTCTTTGTGATGAAGCTTTAGGCACTGAGTAAGTATTTCACGTAAATGAGAAAATAGTTTTACTGTGTAATTTTGCTGTTGCTTTATTGTTTTATCTCTTTATAAATATTTTTTCTTTTCTCTTTTCTCTTCATAATCTTGTTTAATTGGTTGGGAATGTGCTTAATATGTCCAGCAAGTTGAGGAGTTGTATTGAAGATCAAAATTCAAGACATGTAGAAGAAGCAAAATCGAAGGTTGCTGCAGCTATGGACAAGGTAACAGCAAACAAGGTGTTATATTCTTTGTATCTAGATTGTTCTTGCTGTTACATTGTGTTTGTAATTTTGTATGCATGCTATTTATAGGAAAAGGGTCTTAGGCAGAAGCTACAGAATGAGATGGTTAAAGCTTTTCTGCCAAACCTGACTCCACCTCGAATGGAGAAGCATAATGCTCTACTTTCAAAGCTAAAAAGTGAAGTGGCTCAAGCTCATGCTGAGGTGCTCATATTAAAGGGTGGACTTCGAAAAGGTATGATATGATGTTTATGAATTAATCAATATGCTATGTTGCCTAAAGTTTTCATAAAATCCAGACTCGGAATTTGCTTCCTAAATAAATTAATGCTCTTATTGAGGTCAAAATGTAAAGTTTGGATACATATTGTTACTTTATATCTTGTAAGAATTTAATGTTTTTACTACTGTAACGGTTGACATTTGTTCTTCTAATGTTGCAGAGAAACATAGTTCTAATGCTATAAGAATCAAACCTGACTTTTTGGACAACAATGGTCAGGCATTTTGGAAGTTGAAGAGTTACGATGGTGAATGTTCTGTTCTGTTGCAAGGTAATTCTCAAAATCCATTAACTTAATTTTTCTGAATGATGACACCTTTATGACTTGGACTCTAGCAAGTTTTCTGAAAGAAAGCAACGTGCAGATATCAAAATACAAGATGGAACTGCTACTGCACCTAAAGAAAAGTGGTTTGTTTATACTCCTGATAAGAAAGATGAGCTTGAAAAGTATATTTCTTCAAGGTGAGTTCTTCAATTAACTATAAGTGGATTGTTCTCGTGGTTTCGGATATAGTACATGATATTAAAAAGTTTGCATTCTTATATTTGTCAACGAACATGATGGTAGATAGGTACCAAAGCTAGTTTCAGTGTGTTGAAAAGTTGAGAAAAAAATGATCACACTTGTGTGCTGGACACGCAGATAGATAGGGAAATATAATGAAACATGCATTTTATTAATGATAATTATTTTATCTGTTAATTAAGAAATATAATTAAATATGAAATTGGATTCTAATAAGTCATTTAAGATACTTTAAGATTTATATTTATAATATAATGATAAAGTGATATGTTCTAAGAACCTTGATATACAATTTTTACTGCCCTGTTTGGATGTTACTTTTTAGTACATTCATTACATTAGTCGACTTTGCTGCTTTGCAGCCACATAAACTCAATTGCACGTGTGGCTATGCAAGCACAAGGGTAGGGGAAGGGAACATGCAACTAAACATCTGTTTATGTTGGTGGCATTGAAGTTATCTGTCCTATAATTGATTCTTCACGGGTGCAAGCAATTAATTATGTTTCCTTTTTACCTTGGTTGCAGGACTAAAAGACTTTCAAAGCCACAAGGTTTCTGACATGTTTTTAAGTGAAGCAAGTTTGTAGGATGTTTATGGTTAGCATTGCCATCTTTGATCTGGAATTTACAATAGTGACATCTAGTATACAACTTGCAAGAGGTCCAATGTGGTGTACAGTAGCATAAATGTTGGAAAAATAGTGTTAAATGTTCATAATAATAACATAAATGTTGGCAAAAATACTAATAGTTTAAGGTAAATTGCAAATGGGTCTTTTCAGTAATAGAGTATTGGTGTTGTATTTAGTGAGACTCATGTAAATTTATCTAATAATAGTGTGTTAAAAATACTTTGTTGCTAACATTGTTTGTAACTTGATATACAATTTATGTGCTCTGTACTTGTGGACATGACTAGATCATGGTTTTTCTTGTTTTTGCAGGTTTTGGTGTGAATCTTGCCTTGGTTGGCCGTTTTTGATTGAGGGTTGAGTAGATTCTTGTTTTTTTTTTTTTACTAAGGGAACTTCATTATTGCGATCAACAATCTACATGTAAAAAGATTCTGAAGTTGCTGATGATTTTAGAACATGAAAATAAATATGGATTCGTTGTATCTTATTTTAGGGGAGCAGGAAGATAAGGAGATTTAGAGTTTAAGATTCAGTGTTTAGCATCCAATTTTTTCATGATAGAAAGAAGAGAGACATTAGCTTTCAATGTAATTACTATTAATAGTTGTATTTTTCTTTAGAATTTGGATTTACACATCCATTGGAAAGTGGTGTCTTCTAAATATTCTGAAGTAGCTCAATTAATGCATGCTCATGGACTAGGTTTGTTTTCTACGTTTCTATATTAATTTTTTATTTAATTCAAGGAGTTTTATTATTTAACGATTGTTATATATATATATATATATATATATATATATATATATATATATATATATATTAATGATTATTCCTTTAAATTGATTTTTCTAATAAGCAACATCAACTCATATTAGGGATACAGAATGTGTGTGTAGATATGTAAATATGGAGTTAGATATTATAATATATTATTAAAATATTTTCAAATTTCATCACATGTTAAATCATAGGGTTGGAAAAAATGAAAGGTCATATCCATCTTATTTTATGCATAAAAAATGACTTAGCTATATTTATATTTTAAATAGGTTATAAATTTTTAGTAGATTTTTATGTTAGGTAAATATGTTAATTTTGTTATAATTAAAAATTAAAAAATTATAATATAATTATTCAAAAAGTAATTATAATGATTTATATAAATTATAAAATATGATATTTGTTATTTAAGAAATAAAAGTTAATTTTTTATTTTTATTATTTATTTACTTAATAATTTAATGATAAAGAATAATAATTCATCTTATTTTTTATTAAATAAATAATATTAGTTTTTGTTTTTATTAAAAGTAATTATTATTTATAAATTGAGTCTATTTAAAATATTGTTTTTTATAATATGATGATTTTTTTTCTTACAATCAAGTCATTACGGTAGATGATAATTTAGTAATTGTGTTATAATGTTTGTTTTAGTTAAATTAGTTAGTTTAACTAATTTTAACAACTATTATTAATATCAATTATATAATTCAGTTTTTACATTGAATCTCATTTATATTCAATGTACCTCATTCTCGATATTCTTATCTCTCTCTGTAATTGTTTTGAACCTCTTTTCTGCTAACAATGATATTAAGAGTTTCAAGATCCGGGAAGAAGAATAAGAAAGAAAAAAGATCAAAAGGTAATGACAGGAACTCAATTATAATAAATGATGCGTAAAGATGAAGATTATCTTTGGATTTCAAGAAGTCTTGAATGAATATGATGAGTTACCAAAAATCCCACCAAGGCACAACGTGCTATGTTTCATAATGCAAAGAAACGTAATTGTAAAACTTTGTTTTATATTCATCAATGTGTCGATAAAAATAATTTTAAGAATATCTCGTTAGAAATCATGACGAAAGAAGTTTGGGACATACTAGCACAAACTTATGCAATAGTATAAAGATTGAAGATAGTAGAACTTCAAACCTTGCATCGTCAGTATGAATTGTTGTAGATGGGGACGCAAGAAACCATCCAATACCTTTAAGATTGTTGTCGATTACAAATTTAATAAAGTCATGTGGTGAAAGCTTAAAGGAACGAACAATGGTTAAAAAGGTGTTGAGGACCTTCGATACAAGATTCGATTGTTATCAAAGAGTCAAAAGATCTCAATTTATTGAAGTTGGATGAAGTACAAGGGTCATTGAAGAGTCCAAAACAGAATAAGTGTTGATGAAACAAAAGAATGAAAGTAATAAAGGAAAATAAAATAAGAGAGGTCAAGGAAAAGGAAGATGTAGAAATAATGGTGGACAAGACTCAAAAGGATAACATGAGAGTTTCTCACAATTGAGAGGTGACAAAGATAGGAACTCACAATGGAAAATTAATCGATCCAGTTCTAGTGCTAATAAGAAGAATGCACAGTGTTACAACTATAACAAGTATGACCATTATATTGTTGATGTTAGACAAATGACATCTAGAGGGGGTGAATAGATGCACAAATTAAAATATATGCCAAATTAAAAATTTATTTATTTAAGATGTCAAATAATTTGTTAATTCAATTTTAATTATCAGATAAAATA